GCTTTCACCAGAGTAAATGGCTCCCAAATCTGAATTTTTTTCCAGTAACTATGTTATTGGTTCCAAACATAAATTATTAGAAACTAGTCATCTCGTCTTGGATACTGCAAAAACAATTAAAATTAATGTGTTCTAACAATACTTACCGATTGCTCAAAATTGGTCTTCCTCAGTGCTTCTTAATATCAATTCATTGTGCCATCTGAATGTGCAAGCCAGGTCTCAGTGACTCATTTTTCATTCCTTCCCTTCTCTTGCCCTCTATGTCCAATCTATGGCCAAGTACATACTCCTCCTAAAACCTATGCCGAATCTGCCTGCTTATCTCCATTTCTGCCACTGGCAAGCCACTGGCATCTCTCATGATTACTTCTTTTAATATTTGTGTCTTCTTATAATTTATTCTTTTCAAAGAACCTAGATAGATATTACTAAATATAAAAAGAAGTCTGCTGGAATCTCTCAGTGAATCCTCATTGTTCTTAAAATAAACTTCAAGCTTTTACCATGACTGTTGAGGCAGAAACTGCAATTTTAATGTCCAATATGTTTCCCCAGTTTATAGAAAGACAATATTGTTAAGAATAGTAGCAAGGTGGGTAGACAATAAAACTGTCTCACAGTATTATTATTGTAGCTGAAGTGCCCATCCAACACAATTCTAGCCAGCATAATAATAAAAAATCTATAGGATAGTATTTCCTGGAAAACATTACTTTCCTGATAGAAAGGGATAAACTCAGCTGGCACATGTTCTTGTTGCCCCTTGCCATCCTTTTTCTCCTTTCCAGAGGTGAAGAAGCCATCTTAGAAGATAATGATGAGAGTCATTTTATTATCACAGAATGGAAAGACAGAGGCTTGGATCCCTTACACTTGAACTAGCCCCGCGCTGCTGACATTGAGATTCATCTTATGAGAGAAGAAGTACTACAAGTTGGTTCCTGTTCCATGCAGCCCAAACAATCCTAAAAGATACAATTCTGTATGATATGGCCCCTGCCTTCTTTACTCTTATCCCAAGCAGCTCTTTTCCTCTATTAAGTCACCGTGACTGGCCGTGGCTTTCTTTTTGGACTACTCCAACCATTTTCCTTCTTCCGGGTATTTGCATGTGCTGCCCTTTTTTGCCTGAAATAATTATGCTGTGCTCATCTCCATCTTACTTCTGCTATTATTCAGCTCTGGGTTTAAGGACCATCTTCTCAGTATGCACTTATCTGGGCAGCTCAGCCTAAACTGAATGTTTTCATAGCACCCTGCACTTTTCTTTGTAGCATATTTTTTAACTAGTTTCATTATTTTCTCCTTTTAGTTGGCTACCTTTCTTCTCATGATAGACTGGACTGTCAGGAACTGTGTTTGCTTGTACACTTCTGAAATGCCCATCTATCCTCTATATCAGTGCCTGTCACATAGGGAACACTAAATAAACATGTACGAGTAAATGGCGAAACTACTGAAATGGCATGTCCTTTGTGACATTTTCTTTGCTCTCCTGAATCAGAATTTATCATGACTCCTTCCAGGTTTCCATGGCATTTTGTTTTGTTTTAACTCCTGGCTTAATTCAACATTTTTAGCAAAGAAGGGGTGCTATAAAGGGTCTCAAGGCCTATTTATCTGTGAAGCATGTAGAAATTACTTCTAATACAGTATTCTGAGGGCAATGGTTAAAGCATCAGCAAGATACAAAGATAACACAAGGGAAAAGGCCAGTGACCTCAATGAGGGGGTAGAGATAAGAGAGAGGAAGGCATTCAGGAAGTGGAAAGATTGAAGCCACATATTGAAGGCTAACTGGAAATTTTCTAGCTGAACAAGGAGCAGGAAGGAAATAGAGACAATGAAGGTAACATACAACGGGCTATGGTGTGAAGAAGCTGAGTATGTTTATCAGCAGAGTATTAACTATGAGAGGGGCATCAGAGGTATAGTGTGAGAGACACGTTCAAGGAAACCATCTATTCTCATAAACATGGGTTCTCCATGGGAATGCTCTTATGACCTTAAAAAACTTGACCAAAGAATTGCAGAGCAAATAGAATCATGATCTGTTTTTAATTTTGTTTTGTTCTTCAGAATTTTTGTGATCAACTTCAGTTATAATCCTATTTCCAATTTATTTTCCTTTGAGACATTAGCATGAAAATGGAGCCATATGCACCTGCCCCATTGCCCTGCCCATCTACCATCACAACTGGTTCCATGTCTGGAGGAAATTTTCCAGAGCTACAGTTAGAGGGATACACAAACTCAAGACCGTGAAGCACATTAGTGACTAATCAAAGGACTTCAAGCAGAGGAGAGATTGTCCTCAGTTTTGAGGCTTAAGAAAACTTTAAACGCAATAGAAAAATGCTTAGAACTGTATTATAAGAGTAAAAATAACTATAGACCCTCAACTGAGTCAGTAGAGATTGAGAGTCCACACAGTAGAATTGTGGAGATAATCCAGAGCCAGAGTTAACTGGAGGTAATAATTGATTAGGCATGGAAATGAATAGAAGAGGAAGAGATCATGAGCCCCTGGAATTTCTGGTCTAGAGACCATCCATTGTGTCCTTCAAGTGAGAAAGATAATACATAAGGAAGAGTATGGTTTAGAAGAAGCTACAATTAATTCAGGCTGGGTGATGTGGCATTTAATATCTCCAAATGGAGGTATCCTACTTGCTAAATGGGCATATGATCTGGAGCTCCAAGAGAGCAACCTAGATGAAAGGCATATATTTGAGAGGATGATAATCTAATCTAATCCAGTGCTTCTCAACCTTCCCAATGCTGCAACCCTTTAATACAGTTCTTCATGTTATGGTGACCCCCCAATCATAAAATTATTTTCATTACTACTTCATAATTGCAATTTTCTATTGTTATGAATCATAATATAAATATCTGATGATATGCAATCCCCAAAGGGGTGGCAACTCACAAGTTGAGAACCACTAAGGTTATGATAGTGACTATAGAAATTCTCTCCAATGAGGGAAGAACATCTTTGAAAGGTGTTAGAATTTAGAGCACATTAACACCTGGTGACTAAGGGAATAAAATAGACATTAAAAGGTGAGGTGGTTGTAAGACAAACCTGTGGTTTCTGCCTCAAACTGGATCACTTCAAATTCCATATGGAGAAGCCCTGATTTCCCATACCTTAGAATCTGACTGCATGTATGACTTAGAATTTGGAAATATGGTCCTCAAAAAGGTAATTAAAGTAAAATATTGTTATACAGATAACCCTTTATTCAATATGACTACTATGCTTTTAAAAAGAGATCAGGAGCCTGGTGTGATAGTGCAGAGAGAGGCAGAGATGTAGATCTCTGTGAATTTGAGGCCAGCCAGGAGTGACGGGGGTGGGGGGGGGAGGAAAGGAGGGAAGGAGGGAGGATGGGAGACTAGAATACCGACACTAAGAAATGCAAGCACCATATGACCAATAAGATAGCCATCTAGAAGAAAAAGAAAGACAGCTCAAAAAACAATTATGAAGCAAGCAGAAAGATTGTGAGAACCAGAGGGGATGCAGGACACCAAGGAAACAGTGTCTTCCAGACACAACAGACTGACACACATATGAACTCACAGAGACTGTGACAGTATTCATAAGTCCAAACCAGATGGGTTCCCACCACTGAGATGGGGAAGTAGATAGGAATTCCCATCCCCAACCAAGAAGCTATCTCCAATTAACAGCCACTCACAAAGGAAAAATAGGTTTCTCCAAGGGAGTCTCACTGTGTACACAAACCACACGTAAGAGTAGGCCCCATGGCCAGCAGAAGATGGACAACACAAAAGGAACTCAGGGGGATTTGGGGAGACTTTTTTCTCGTTTTGCTTTGTTTAGACATTTTTTGGCCTTACTTTGCTTATACACTGTGATTTGTGTGTTTTTATGGGTTTTGTTGGGAGGGGGTCTTTGCACATGTGTGAGTTTCTCATGTTTTTTCTCCTTTCTTTTTGTTAGTTTGTTCATTGTTTTATCCCTTTTGGTTTTGCCTGTCTGTTTTCTTAAGAGAGAAAAGGGTGGGGAGGTGGGAAGGACCCTGGAGGAGATGAGGGAAGGGGGAACTAAGATCAGAATGTATTCTATGAAAATAACTTCATTTTCAGTAACAATAAAATTAACAAAAATAAATTAAATGAGATATATATTAGAAAGGAAGGGATGAAGGAAGATGACATCTTGATCTTGGATTATAGCCTCCAGAACTGTGAGAATAAATGTGTTTTATTTTGTTTTCTAAGGAATATATTTTCTATATGCAAGTCAGTACGGCAATACTTTGTCATGGTAGGCCCAGAAAACTAATTGTAGTCACCAATCAAGATTAGGATTATGGGAAAGAAAGTAGGTTGGGGGAAGGAAGCATTGAAAAAGAAAGTTTGATAGGTAGCATACTGAGTTACATCCAGATACAGATGATTGTAATGCTTAAATGACTTTGAAATTAAAAGACAGAACTGGATTACAGGTACACATTTCGATGGCATTGCTATATAAGTGATATATTAACTCCAGGACTGGGTGAGTTCATTTAAGCAGCTAATATAAAGTGAGAAAAAAATCATGAAGCAACAAAATGAATGTCAGTGTTAAGGGACCACCTAAAGAAGAGAAACATAATCATAGAGACGGGATGAAGAGAGAAAGCTCACAATTGCTCTTCATTATATCCTGGTTTTAACTATAATTATTTCAATACGTGTTGATCTTGGGACACAGAGTGCTTTTACACAGTGAGGAGGCACACTATCTGATTTACTTCTGACTCTCCAGCACCCAGGAAAGTACCTGATACTTAATATCCCTGCGATAAATATTTGCTTAATTGGATGGAATTGAAATTAGAACTTTGTTCCCTCTTTTGCTCTGTTTGCTTATTTCTGGATTGTGCAGCATGTATTGCCACTGGTATTTTAAGTTCATAGTGAAAAATCATTTCAATGTGTCCTAGGCTTGATCCCCTTCCAACCCAACCCCCAGGACAATAGTTTTCATTATAACCTGTCTTTGCCATTCTGGATGGAATTCTGTGCACAGAAGTTATATACATATATGGGTATATCTATGTAACAAATCGCAGCACAGGAGCCCCCTGGGCTCCCTCCGGCTCTGGTATGACATATTTGAGCCATATAAATTCAGCTTCTCCTCTGGCATCTGTTAGCCGGCTCACTTGCAACTCCACCTCAGCAGTGGTCTCAGTCCTCTCAAAGCAGGGAAAGAGCACTGTGTGCTGGGAGACTATGGCAAAGAATCCTCCCGAGAACTGTGAGGACTGTCACATTCTAAATGTAAGTTGATTCATATATTTTCCCTTTTGAGCAGAAGCATGGTTTCACAGATTTATCGTATTGCAATGTGAACATTAGAAAGTGAAATCGAAGGAGACTTTGAGTTATGGCTTGCTATTTTGAGGGTTATTGTGTATTGTTTCATTCTTTCTGTTCTTTGCTTAGGCAGAAGCTTTGAAATCCAAGAAGATATGTAAATCACTGAAGATTTGTGGACTGGTATTTGGTGTCCTGGCCTTAACTCTAATTGTCCTGTTTTGGGGGAGCAAACACTTCTGGCCCGAGGTATCCAAGAAAGTAAGTAACAGACACTTACCCAGTGTTTCCTTACCGAGTTTGATTGAATTTAACTAGTGATTAATATGTGAACTAATACGAAAATGAAAACTCTTAATCTTTTTTTATTCAGTTAGGGGCATAGAAAATGAAATCAAGGTTTTTCTTTCGTTTGTTTATTTAGGTGAGGGGAAATTGTCTTCCGCATTTTGGTTAGAAGTGACAAGAAGTAAATTTACCCACTCTTTTATGGTTGACTTGAAGGAGTTAAATCTCCTGGAAGCTTTTTTTAATGTAAGAAAGAAAAAACTACTTTTTATCTTTCTTTCCATTATCTGGGCAGAAACTTATGGCAAAGTAACCAGACAGTCACATAGAAAGAAACCACCTGAAGTGGCAGCAAATGCTTTTCAGGGATTATGTTCTGACTTGAATGCATCTGCTGTGAGGACAGGCAGCAAGGCAAACTCATTTTGAAATGAAGCAATTCTCATATCTGAGTTCATAATTATTTGTTACTTAACCAGAACTAGAGCTTCCATGTTATTGTTATTCCTGGGCTCACATGCAATAGACAAGTTTAGATGTGACCCAAATAAAATCATAGTTCTTTCTTGCTAACAATTTCCATTAGAATGAGAATGAGATGAACTACAACCCATGAAGATGGGCTTTTAGTCTTTGCCATATTCTTCTCTATTTGTGGGCCATTATTGTTGCTGCTGCTACTGCTGCTGGTGTTGATTTTTGGTCATGAGATGCTCATTTCTACTTAGTAGCCGATGTAGGGAAGAAAAGGCACAGATCCAGGAGGGAAAATGAGACAAGAAGAAAATGGGTTGGCATGGACCATTAGGAGCCAAAGGAGCAGTAGGAGCAAGGAGTTCATGGAGAAAAGTAGACAAAGGGGAAGAAAAAGAATGTAAATTGGCTAACTGTCCAAATGCAAACAGAAAAGTAAAGCATAGCTCCCCTGGGATTCTCCACCTCTGCTGCAATATCTGCTTGCATTTAGTCTCAAGGGATACCTTGTAAAGTTTAAGTGTGAGGGGGAGCAAACAAGCCTACTTTTCTGTTTGCCTTTTTATTTACATCATGTTCCAGAAAGGTTTTCAGGCATCACCCACTCCTATTAGCCCACCCCCACTGCCCTACTGCTTTTGAACTACTTACTATTCAGATGGCTTTCTAGAGAAGCCAACTATGTTAAGGCTAGCAAGGTGTGCAAAGCAACCAACATCAGAAAAGAAAAAGAAATTGAATTGAGAGCCAACATTCATTCCAGTACAATTACTTACTTACGGTACCACTTAGCTAATTTCTAAAGTGATGTGCTACCCCAAAAGTTGAATCACTAATTCTCTTGGAAATTATGTGAGTACAGGTCCCAAAAATCATTTTAGTTGCTGTGAATATAATGCCTTCACTGTAGGTGGTCAGTAGCTAATCATTTTGACCATTCATAGTTGTTTGTCTGAACAATGACACAATAGCCTTTCTTATTTTCTTGTATTCATCGGCACTATAAACGCCATCCCAACTGCGTTTATGTGTTACAGTGGTGTTTGCTTCAGTGCAGTAATAAATGACTCAGGGGATGACTGGAGGAGATCTTGCCTTTATCTTGTAAGAATCCACGCTCCTTATCCGAGTTCATTATCTCCCCTACCTTTGAATTATACTATCTTTGTTTCCCATTCCAGTTCTTTTAAATATGATTTCCAAAGATCAACTCTGTAACTCCTGAAACCAAACAAAACCTCAGTCAGTGCATACACAGAAAAGGTGGGGTATGCTACTGATTAAAGTGTACTTAAAAAGAAAAGATCAAAGTTCTCATGAAGTAATTCATCTTAGGATATAATTTTCACCAAAAGGAGTGTAAAGGAGAGGCCAAAGTCATTATGAAGATATACAAATAAAAGACATTATGTATCACCTGGGATATGTTTTTCTACTGTGACCAAATACTATTAACTTGCTATTCCATGGGGGGTTACAATATGCTCTCTTTCATATATAAGTCCTGGCCTTCACCACAAAGTCAGGCTGGGTCACTCTAAATCAGAAGACCAGGTAGCAGTTTGGATTCCTTATTCAATCACCTACTACCTTCTAGGTCCCAGACAAAGAGCTTTGGACCATGTTCCTAGTGACCAAGACTAGGCCTGCATCTGAGCCCTTAAGAATCCAGGGAAAAGCCGGGCGGTGGTGGCGCACGCCTTTAATCCCAGCACTCGGGAGGCAGAGCCAGGCGGATCTCTGTGAGTTCGAGGCCAGCCTGGTCTCCAAAGCGAGTTCCAGGAAAGGCGCAAAGCTACACAGAGAAACCCTGTCTCGAAAAACCAAAAAAAAAAAAAAAAAAAAAAAAAAAAGAATCCAGGGAAAATAAAAGTACTCAGATTAGTCTGGGAAGAATATTTCCAGAGGAAAATGATCCAAGCATCTTGTACAAATTTAAGACTCTCTCTTTAATAGTATGGGCTGGAATGAAATGCCGATTAACCAATTAAAACCCATAGTCTTCTGGCCTTTGCTTTAGTTGCCTGTGTGATTTGTGAGGTCTGTCGGGCTTTGGGTAGAGAGAACAACTGATGTTTTTGTGCTTATTGTTTGTAGTGATACCTCTGTTATCCTGAGGCTGTCTCCCAGCTCTGTGTTTGCTCTTCCAGCCCCCACAACACTCCTTCTTGTTTTCTTTTTCAACATCTGTTTATAATAAACAGTGTTTATTTAACATCCTACATCTGCTGTTGACATTTCCATGCTACTAAGTCTTTCCTTTCCCTCCTACCTTCGTAGGCACAAAAGATCCAGATGACTGATTTCAAATGAGAATAAGCAATATCTGACTCCTAGTATACCTCAAGCATGCATGTGAGTGTCTCACACACACACACACACACACACACACACACACACACACACACACACACACACACACACACTCTTAACCAGAACAAAAATCAATCAAAATTAAATGAAGGTCAACTCTGAGAGAGCTTCTGTACCTCTTTCCAGGCCCTAGGTTCCCTGAGCCACAGCCATACCTAGGAGACTTGAAGAGGCTTGAGGAAAAAAACCAAGTCCATAAGGCTCTGTGTTCAGCTTTCCTGAGCAGGAAAAACATATTCAGGTCCAGAAATTTCGAGAGGTCATCATATTGAGGGTCCACTTCTAAGCAATAACTTCCTTAGGATCCATGAAGCAGATTTACTGGGGAAAAACAGTCTTACTTAGCGCTCCCTGTGTTCCACACTGAACTGGAAATAATTAGAAGCCAACTCCTCAACTAATCAAAGCAACATGGAGAAACCCAACAGAAAGGCTGTAGCTCTTAAACCAGCAGTTTATAAACACAGCACAGATTTCATACCCCACTCTTGCAAACCTTTGTGGAATGAGACATAGATTTGAGGTTATGTGAATGAAATGGTGTGTGCTTCCTGCCATACATCAGAACTATGTGGTGATTTTCAGGGCTGCTGGGAAGTAATTACCCCCCTGCAGCAATCAACATATTCCGGGAGATGCTCCTTCAAATTCCACATTCTAGTAGCATGAGAGGTCATGGAGATAAGCGAGCATTCTGTCCTGCCCATGTAACTTCAATTGCAGAAGATCACTGAAACAGTCTCATTTATGTTTCATACCGAAGATCATCCTAGGCTGAAAATCCGTTGCACGAAAGAATTACTTTCTTGCCAAGTCTGAGTCCAGCTTTCTTCATGACTATTTTTCTACCACTAGCATTAGCCCCAGACCAACTTTCTTTACTCATCTTTAAGCACATGAAGGGACTTTTCTTTCTAGATTGCCTAGGCTCTTATACACAACAGTTTAGTGGTTGAAACATGGTACTGGAGAAGCATTTATACCCTCAAGGCAAAAGCTGGAGATGTATCTGGAATCTCTTAAGCAGGGGAACTGAGTTTCACCAGATGCTGCCACATCAGCATTTTGGAAAAGAAGGCATGTCTTCATTCTCTTTTTTTCCCAAGACCCAAGTTTACCCTTGTACAATGATCCTTACTGGGCCGGGTGCTATTTTAAACTATTCAGGGGTACCTCTTACAAATGACATGATGCTCGATTCTGATGGCTATGAGTATACTCTTAATGCTTATTCCTAAGGTTGTATTTACTGAGTGCTTTACGGGGCATATGAAAGTAAAGCCCTCAAACAGAGCTGTAGGGAGCTGTAGGGATAAGAAGCCCAGGTGATCAACAGGTAGTTGCAACCCAACAAGCAACCTGAAAGGTACCAGACAAATGTTAAGAAAAACTGGATTTGCCAACTACCCAATATTGCAACCAGAAAGGGGATTCAGAAAGGGACTGAACCCTCAGAGGCATTCAGTAACTTGTCCCAAATCACACAGCTTGTAGGTGGAAGGACTAACATTAATACTAGAACCTTTTCTGGGGATTCTTTCCTGTTTTTCAGCTCAATTTGGGAACTGGGGAGAGGATTGTGGATACAGCAAAACTTCCCATCGAGTTTAAGACTATAGATGAAGTAAATAGCTGGCTCTTTTCCCTTCCTTCCTTCCTTCCTTCCTTCCTTCCTTCCTTCCTTCCTTCCTTCCTTCCTCCCTCCCTCCCTCCCTCCCTCCCTCTCTTCCTTCCTTCCTCCCCTCCCCACTCTTTCTTTAATGAGGAATGTCTGGTTGCTTATGTGAATTTTTTCAGGTCTGAGAACTGATGATTGAAGATGCAGAAGTCCAGCTATGCATAAGAAATAATCTGTCAGCACTGTGTTGGTAGAGCAATACCCAGAGGCCCTTTCATTCTCCCAGGCTGGCTCTGTAATAATATGGTACAGTGCCTTCCCTTCCCTTCCTTCCAGCCTAGCACCTGCTAGCCAGCTATTCTGAGCATGTATTTCACCTTTGGAGTGTGTACCTCATAAACAGACAGTAAAGGATGAAGGTGGGGGGAAAAGACCAGCTAGATTAATCACAGGTTTCAAAAAAACAAACCTAAGCCAAATGTCCTCAAATCCCTGTCAGGACAGGCTAAAGCTGCTTGCCCCCAAACAGATCCATCACACCAATGCATGAGTCAGCTTTACTCTTTATAAAAAGCTTTCTTTTCTGATCTCAGAGACTGTCACCAACAGAGACAAAAAAGCAGAGTAAAGTGTTCACACTGTAGGAGGCAGTTGGGGCTTATTGCCTGCCCTGAATGGAAGACTTAACTGGACTGAGGACAGAATTCCTGGACAAGGAAGAAAAATGGATTCATGTTTCCCCCATATTTTGTCAGTGTGGTCTTCTTACAGATTGCCTATTCCACTGGCCTCTCTGTCCTATTCCAACATAAAGCCAGTAAGAACCCATTTGGATTGTGTTGGAAAGATGCCCCGCCCCCACCCCCATCTCCTGCTCCTGGTGTCACAGTACCTAAAATGCACCATTATGACTTCATTCCTTTGAGTGAAGTATTGCATTCAATTTTTCAAACTGACAAATGTCTTTTCTGTTGCTAATATCTAAATGCAAAATCATTTGTCAGATGGGTTTCTTCTCTTACATAAGAGCCCTCAAGCCCCAGCAGATTCCTGGTTGTCTAGACAAGAGACAAAGGGCCAGATGGAAACGAGGCAGGCATGGGAGAAGGTTATGAGAGTACACAGGGAACAAGGTATGAAGATACCAGAAAGAGGGCTCATCTACTTGCCAACTTGGCAAGGGCATAGTTCATGTCACATGCTGTCCTTGCGCTGTCTCTCCTGGAACAAAGCTAAGTTGGGAGCAGAGGCTGAGGAGAGATGCTTGGAGCCCACTCATACCTTTCTAAGGTCAGCCACCCTGTCTCTGCTTTAGTTTGTTCCTGGACAGGGCAAAGCCATTTAGTTCTTCTTCTCCAGAAGGCACTTCAACCCAGGAGCCAGGGAGCTTAGTAGACAGCAAAGTACTTCTGATGCCAAGGGCATGAGCTCAGTCTTCATATGGGCCAGTGAATCTTGCATAGCCATTACCCAAGCAGTATGCTCCACGGGGACCTGAGTGAGACAGTATGTCTGGATTTACTCAAACCCATCCCCACACAGTCCAAAGTAAGTCATTGGCATCATCCTCCTAGACAAAGGACAGTCTGTTTCAAAAGGACACCTTTGATAGCAGAATTCCATCTGGGTAAATATGTAGCTCCCTACTCCTGCACCCTCCCACACACTAAGGATTTATACACAAATGAAGTCATTCTGATCTCACTCTATTTAAGAAGCTACCATTGCTAACACAAAATCAACAAGCTGATTAATGGATACAATTAACATGGATGATGCCTCTTCCCTCGCTGAATAACAACAACAACACAAACAAACAAACCCAATTCTTTGTTGAGATGTTGAAAATAATGAAGATCTGCTGAGCTTGGCAGTTTCCAATAGTACTCATCCAGAAAGGTGTCCAAGTAAAGTGTATTGCCAAGAGTGCAGGAAAACTCATTCCACAGAAGTACACTGAAATTTTAAATGTCATCAGCACAGTCCCATAGTCTTCTACTGATGATTGAAAATGCAGTCTGCATTTTCTCTTTCTTTTGCCCAGGTAGGCCACAGTCCAATATCCCCTAGTCTCTAACCCAATTTTTCCATGCAATAATCCATCAGTGGTGCTGCAATGAAACAGACACCCCAGCCCAGCCCCTGGTGGCTAGTACTGTCAACATTTGTCTCCACAACGGATAGTATTTCTAAAGAAACTATCCCCTATTGGGAAACCCAACAAGGCTGTGTCTGAAGTGGATGCCTTTGTCCTCTGCTTAACTCAGCTGACTGAGGGCTCAGGTTTTTTTTGTCATACCTACAAGTTTCTCTTCTCTAGCTGGCTGCAGAACTAGAACCAAGAGGATATAAGCAGAAGCAATGAAAGGAGTTTTCTCCCTGACTCAAACAAGATCAGCCTTCCTAAGTTAACACTACCGCTTCTGGAGAGCTCTCCATACTCTTTTCCTTGACTTTAAAAGACCTTACCAATCGTCAGAGCATTCCTTCAGGAAATAAGAACTGTCATTGGTGACGATACTTAATCAACAAATAACTGCTATCCATGTCTACAGCACACAGGGCCACAGGGAGGTAAAATGGCTTTGCCTCTGTTTTTCTTTTCAACGGCTCCATCAGACTTTTCATGCTTGAAGTAACATTTGTTTCTACAAACCCATCCAACTTGTTTTTCTACTTGACTTGGGAAAAATTTGACCAGGTTAAACTAACATGCTGTCGCAGGCATCCGCAGACACTAAAAACAACACAAACCAGGGCAAACTCATGGAGGAGGACACCACTAGGAACCGTGTCATTAGAAAGCAACATTGGCTGTGTAGGCAACTTGCTTCTTCAGAAGGACAAATGAGTACGTAGACATCTAACAGGCAAAAGCCTCCAAGCAACAAGGGGAAGATAGACTTGCAAATGGCACCATCAACTCTGGCATGGTTTGCAATAGAGATCAAACTCCTTTGGAGTTGATATTTGTCTATAGCCCCAAATATGTCCCAAGTTAGAGGTTCAATGTTTAACTCCAAGACTGAATAAAGCACAGAACTGGTCCTCTTTGTCTGTAGTGAGAGAATTGTCTTTTAGAGAGCAGAAGGAAGTTTGGGGGTTTGTTTCAGCCACTCAAGAAAGGCTTGATACATACCCTTTCAGAGGCACTCTCCTTGGAAGATTCTGTTACTTAATTTATGGCACCTCACCCTGTCACCAAAGTCTACCTGTGCAGAGGAATCTAGAGAAGCTGAAAACAATGGAATCAAGTTTAAAAAACAGAACCCAGCAATAACCTGAGTAGGGATGGTTAACCTATAAAACAGAAGGCTAAGGGAAGGCAAGTGACTACTAGATTTTAAAGAATAAAGGAAAATAAACTGGTACAGGACAAGAGGATGACTGATTATTGGCCAATAATATCTTCAGATTCAGGACAAACACAATACTATTGAGGCACTATTAAAATCCTGATAGATATGGGAATAGAGAGTAATAGCTAACCGCTCTAAATGTTTTCAAATTGCTTTCTTGGCTGTAATGGATTTCATGGGATGGAAAGGATGGAAAGAGTAATCACAGGACACTTAGAAAAGGAAGCAGTAGCTTCAGGAAGCAGTATAGGCTTGAGATGATTCCTTGGCTTAACACAAGGGGAAAATACTTCACAGGCTGATTTTGCAGAATATCATTTGCTACTTAGCCAAGGGTGCCAAGAAAACCATTGGAATTCTTCATAATTAGCTCAGCTACTTGGCTTCAATACAAAACACTGACTCTGAAGGGATCCCCGTATCAGCCTGAACGCCAAAATGCACCTCAGTTTAATCACAGATTTTAAAGAGTGTCCGATGGCAAGCTGCTGAGATGACACCTCAGTAGAAAGGCTCCGGAAAGAGAAGGTATCCCAGGTATTTCCCCAATTAAACCGTTTTATGAAGGAGCTCAAAGACTATCTTAGAACTTGCTTTTCTTCCTCTTCTCTCCCAGACCTATGACATGGAGCACACTTTCTACAGCAATGGGGAGAAGAAGAAGATTTACATGGAAATTGATCCCATGACCAGAACGGAAATATTCAGAAGCGGAAATGGCACTGATGAAACATTGGAAGTTCATGACTTTAAAAATGTGAGTTGACTGTTTCCCCTAAGGCTTTCCACTTAAAATATTACAACCATTGAATCAAGTTAAAAATAGCCTTTAACCTTCATTTCATTTATGACAAAGCTTTCTCTATGAATTCAAAGTTTACCAGTCTGAGGCTCTGATAGGTCACGGGATTCATTGTGGCCATTACAGGAAATTAATTACATTATTGTTTTGTCTGTTTTGTAGGGATACACTGGCATCTACTTCGTAGGTCTTCAAAAGTGCTTTATTAAAACTCAAATCAAAGTGATTCCTGAATTTTCGGAACCAGAAGAGGAAATAGATGAGGTATGGGAGAAAAATTACGGTAGTAAAAACACCATTTACTGGCCAACCATTGTACAGAATGCTCTCTTCCCATTGGATCCTCAATCGTGTAACTAGGCACTAGAACTACTCCCATTTTCAGATATAGGAGCTGGAACTTATGACAAAAGAGTGACAGCTAGTTGAGTAGCAGACTGAGGTCTTGAACTGAGTGAGGCCTTTTAAGAAATAGAGTTCATGCTTTGGGGTATACACTATACATTTATACCCAAATACCTATTTTTAAAAACAAACAACAGCAACAACAAACCTATGTAATTTTGCTACCGAACCAATGATTTCTAGTGAGAGGAATGAATCAGAAGAACAAAAGCAATCATGCGTATGAGAAAGACTTTAAGAATATTAGTGCGGGATGGAGAAAATGATTCAGGACCCCTAGTTCACTTCCCAGTACGCACATCAATCAGCTCACAACTGTCTATAACTCCAGCTGCAGGGGATCCAAAACATCTGGTGTACACATAACTAAAAATATAATAAAAATAGGGGCTGGAGAGCTGTCTTAGAGGTTAAGAGCACTGACTACTATTCCAGAGGTCCCAAGTTTTCAATTCTCAGCACCCACATGGTGGCTCACAACCATCTGTAACTCTAGCTACAGGGGATCCAATGCCTTCTTCTGGTGAAACAGACATACATGCATGTAAAACCCCTTACACATAAAATAACACAAATTAAAATAATGAAAATGAATTGTGTTTTAAAGAGGAAATTAGTCCCCAGGCTACATGGGGGTCGTACCACTTCTGTCGTGCTCCAGCAGCCACCTAGTTTAAAGGTTTCTGATTATTCACCTCACCATTTTATGCTGTGCTGCTAGTGTCAGTAACCCACAGTGCTCCTGAGGAGAAGCAAAAGCAAACGGGAAAACTTCCACATACTGTGGATCCTCTGGAAACACTGCTGAACTGGGATGACTAGGCCCCTGCTCCAATTAGTGAATGAATGATCCCAGGAAGGCACGGGAGATGGGTCATCACTGCCTAAAATACAGCAATCCCACAGCCCTTGAGGTTCTTCCGGCTTAATTTAGTTTGCTTTTATATTTAAAACTGGAAAATCGAAAGTGGGACTGTGGCAGTGACATAATGGACTCTGAATACATTGAAATCTCTTTCTCTTCCTTCTCCCATGTTCTTTTTCATGTTCTTCCAACTGGTCACTTACATGTTTTTTCTTCTTCTTTCCCTTTTCTTTTATGGGAAGTGCTGATGGGTTACACTATTTTTCCTATTCTTTACCCAAGACTCCTCAGAGCTGTTGCTAGTTCCCACATTACTTTTTCATGCTATTGCACTCTTCACAGCTTACAGACGTTACAGATCCCCGTTCCTACAATCCCCCCCGCCCCAAAAAAGAAGAAAGTCCAAAGAGGAAGCTTTGTTGCCAAGGTCTATGGTAGTGATAGATATGCAGAGTTTCATTTTGTTTTTAATAAAATTATATTAGACGCTTCTGAAAAACAAATCGACTCCCAAGAAATTAAGAAGCAGTATAGGGGGCAGTGATAACATGAAAGGAGATTAGTGTTTGGGTGAGCTCCATCTCAACCCCTGGAACCCTGGCATCCCTATACCAAAGAGTCCAGAATGTTTGGAAGGAGTCTGGTAGAAGATCCACCTCGGCTCCCTTTCTCATCTCTTTCCCTAAACCTGCCCCTTCAAAGCCCACCAAACACAGCTCAGGAGGACTCCCACAGAGGATATATAAGCAGCATCCCAGAAAACAGACTCCTGTGGTTCTTCTGGTCTCTTGTCCCATCTCCTCTCTGCAGGACCAGGGAATCACGCAGGAGCGCTTTACCCATTAAACCTGGGCTTTGCAATTTGGTCTGATTCAGTTTGTTGTGACAGCAGAGAGGCCTTCAGGAGGCCTAAAACTTATCAGTTCGGATTTAAAAGATATTATAGAGCCAGAGAGAAGGATCAGCAGGTAAAGGCACCTGTGGCCAAGCCTGATGACCCGAGTTCAATTCCAAGGATCTACCTGACACAAGGAGAACTAGTTCTTGTGGGTTGCCCTCTGACCTCTATATGTGCACTGTGGCATATGCCCTGCTCCCCTAACACACAATAAATAAAAATGTTTTAAAGGTGGCTATATAAAATATCATATGAAAATCTTTGCAGAAAATAATGTATCAAGCACAGACAGGCAACAATCAGAGCCTAACATGATAGAATGGGATTTTTATGCATGCTAGAGAAGCCCATCTCTTCTCTGTGCCCTAATTTTTCCTCAGTTAATTTGGTAGGATCTTTTAAATAGCACACATTGTGGTCACATGATAGTAAAATTATTTCATCTCCAAGAAAACAGAATTTCACACTACGAGTCTTTTTTAGTGGAACAAATTTGTGGTTGCAAATTACAAAACCTCTAACTCTGTACTTCGCTCACCACTGTATCTATGGCATGTGCATGTAAAGCATGCAGAGCCAGTGTATAAATAGCCCTGGGTTTGCTAACAAAGCTAGTCAGCACATCAACCTCATTTTATACAATCCCTTTCAATGTTTCCAAGGTCTTCACAGACTCAAGGGCAAAAGAGCCAGGACTTGAAAGTTGTGAATGGTTCAGAGAAAAAAAATGATACAAAAGCAAATTTTGGAGAATAAATAAACACACTGAAATCATAAAGCCAAGAAGAAACAAAAGAGGTATGAAAAGGCCTTATTAAGAGTAGGGCTAAAGTAGCCGGGCGGTGGTGGCGCACGCCTTTAATCCCAGCACTCGGGAGGCAGAGCCAGGTGGATCTCTGTGAGTTCGAGGCCAGCCTGGACTACCAAGTGAGTTCCAGGAAAGGCGCAAAGCTACACAGAGAAACCCTGTCTCGAAAAACCAAAAAAAAAAAAAAAAAAAAAAAGAGTAGGGCTAAAGTGTCGAAGTCTTATTGACAAGTAGGTAAGAACTAGGTATTCAAGGCAACTACTCCCAGCACTAGAAATGGAAGAGAAGATATTTTTAACAAAACTGAGAAGCTCTGTAAACAGAGCCCTCTGTGAGCTAAACCTTGAGCATCTAGAATGAATGGAATTAATGAATCCACTTTCCATAAACTTAAGACTTCAAAACATGAAAAGACAAATGTCTCATAAATCCAAAATGGTAGACTAACTGGCTATTTAACTGATCTGGCTAGTTTAGATTATAGGAGTTTTTGTTTGTCTGTCTGTCTGTTTGTTTCATCTTGAGGTGAAATCCTGTGTTCATCCTTAGCTATACCCCCAAAACAAGGTAGGTATTCACCCATTTAAAGGGGAGAAATGTAAATCACTCATGTTCCAGATGATCAAATTAAAACTTGCATGGCCCAGGGAGTTCCCAGAACATGATGAAAAGATTTTCAAAGGAAATGATGGCAGACAGCGTTCATATTTTAGTGAGAAACCTTACTGCCAGACCCAGAATAAAAGGATCAGTTAGCTCCTCAATGTGCATCTACTGTTAGCATGACATGGAGACAGATCTCCAGCAGCCATCCCTGGCATTGCAACCATTACTCGGGCTTAAAACATATTGTTCTTCAGTACTTCCTAATATCTAACTTGCTGTACTAATTTCTCTACAATCCCATCCCTGATGTACTTTCTTCTTTCAGAATGAAGAAATCACTACAACTTTCTTTGAACAGTCAGTGATTTGGGTTCCTGCAGAAAAGCCTATTGAAAACCGAGACTTTCTGAAAAATTCTAAAATTCTGGAGATTTGCGATAATGTGACCATGTACTGGATCAATCCCACTCTAATATCAGGTATGGTATCTTATCCCCAATCTCCGGCTCCTTCCAATGATGCTAACATGCTAGGCATGTTGATACATCTCTGCATTCTCAGTGTCCAGGAGTTTGAGGCAGGAAGATTTTGAGTTCAAAGACAACCGGAGCTATATACTGTCTATATATGTACATATATGCATACATATAGGTATATATGGATATGTATCTATAAAGAGATATGATATAAATACACAGTATAGTATATACTATAGCAATATACAACAGAGCAATATACTATCTCAAAGAAAAAAAGATAGTAACAGGTTAATGTTTCCAGCATTGAGAGACCACATTTCTATGAAAACAAATGATCGGTTTATACCTTCTTGGATGAAACTGTATATGCTGACTGTGGTGAAGAGGGAATTTTTCACAGCCAAGTTATAAATCAGATAAATTAATGCTGACAGGCTTTTAAAATATCTCAGGAAAGGCAACACCACCCTAATATGACCAGTGGTAGCAAATAGCTACTCTATCTTTCTTTGCACATCGATATTCATTGCAGCAGGGAGACCAGGCTATTCCTCACAACCACAGTAGGCCTATCCCAAGACCTAGAGAGAGATGAGACCGAACAGTGCACCGCTTGCGGTCTCAAGAATTCTCATGGCAAATGGCATTCTCCCCAGAATATGTGACAATCATGGCAGTACAGCTTCTTTAGGAATGTTTGAGGAATCACTATAAATGGAATTGAAGGTTAGAGGTCCAGAGCAGAAAAGTACAACCTTCAATTCAAGAAGACAAAGGTCCCTTAGACACTGTATTCTGTCTACCTGACACAGACTTTGGCCTCCCTCATTCCGCACGGACTACTGTATTACTCAAGACAGGACAGTACCAACAATGTAGGCCTCTACTGGTATTATTTACAAGTATTTTTTTGTACTTTTTAAAAAAATTTCATTTAGATAACTTTTTTTCATTTATTTTACATACAGACAACAGTTTCCCCTCCCTCCTCTCCTCCACTCACCTTCCCCCTGCTCCTCCATCTCCATCTCCATTCACAAAGGGACAGACCTCCCATGAGCTTGAACAAAGCTTGATCAAGTAAAGGCAGCCTTGAGTCAAGGCTGGGCAAGGTAATCCAGCATGGGAAACAGGTTCCCAAAAGCCCGCTAAATGCCAGGGACAGGTCCTGACATTACTGCCTTACAAAGAAACCAAGCTACACAACTATCACTCACATGCAGAGGGCCTAAGTCAGTCCCATGCAGGCTCCCTAGCTATCAGCGGTTCAGAGTTGGTGAACTCCCAGGAGCTCAGGTCAGCTGGCTCTGTGCACCACGCCCGCCATCACGACACTCCCCCTAACCCCGTAAATCCTTCCTCCCTTTCTTTCTTCAGCAAGACTCCCCCGAACACGGAACTCGGCCCAGTGCTTGAGGTGCATCTCCACATCTGCACCTGCTTGAGGGAACGGGTTGGGCCAGCGGGGTACATGCGGGGGCAGGAAGGAAGGAGAAAGTAATGAAAGAGACGTCTTGATGGGGGGCGGATTTCAGGGTCAGGGAAACTCCCAGGAATCCACAAAGATGACCCCAGCTAAGACTCCTAGCAGTAGTGGAGAGGGTGCCTGAACTGGCCATCTACTGTAATCAGATTGGTGACTACCCTAATTGTCATCAGAGAGCCTTCATCCAGTACCTGATGGAAGCAAGTATTTTTTTTTAAAATGATGACAAAATGTAATCTGGTAACCCAAACTGGATGCTGCAAAACAAAGAACATGAATGGAAATACTGATAAATGAAGTCTGTAGTTTAGTTAGTGGCAATGAACCAAAGCTTTCTTAGTAGTTTTGACAATTGTACCACAGCTGTGTAAGATAACAAGAGAAACAGAGTGAAAAAAAATATGTAAGAACCTATATTTTCAGCAAGTCTTCCACAGACCTAAGTTGAAAATAAAGAAGACATGTGTCCCTATAGCTCAGGAGTTAGAGCACTGGTCTTGTAAAAACAAATAAGACACTGGAGGGATGGGTGCCGGGGAGATTTCTCACTGGTTAAGCGCACTTGCTGCTCTTGCAAAGGACCCAGTACCCACAGGTGATTCACAACCATTTTCAACTCCAGTTCTACGCTATATGATACCTTCCTCTGGCCTCTGTGGGCACTGCATGTATGTGGTGCACAGACATACATGCTGGCAATACATCCATATGTGCAAAAATACATAAATACAAAAAATTAGCTACCAAAGAGGAGTGATGGGAGGGCAGCTGAGACCAAATCAAATCAAGCAATCAGGAAATAGTCTTGAACACTTGCAGCTAAAATCATTGAGGAAGACAGAAGTCCCTTGTCTTGTAAGAAAAGGGGTAAATGTTTGATGCCAAGGAGGCAATGAAGTTGGTGAGAAACGAAATAGTGTCTGAACTATCCACTTAATGAGCTAGGAAATGCAGTCCATGCATGCCTAGAGAAATGCCTGCAAAGTAATGACATCACAATTTTGTATTTACTCTCTTAGTTTCAGAGTTACAAGACTTTGAGGAGGATGGTGAAGATCTTCATTTTCCTACCAATGAAAAGAAGGGGATTGAACAGAATGAGCAATGGGTGGTTCCGCAAGTAAAGGTGGAGAAGAGCCGTCACACCAGACAAGCAAGTGAGGAAGACCTTCCAGTCAATGACTATGTGAGTGCTTGTCCACTGCACTCATTTTCGGGGCCGAATCAAAGGAACTCTCATAAAACTCACTACCTCTCAAGGAAGTTGGAAAAATTATCATAATTTTAACAAACATTTAAGAAACTTGGACTCTCCAGGGAGTACATTCATAGCCAATTTTGATGTCTACATCTCCATGATTAGGCTAAGAAATTTAATTTCTCACCTGCTCTCCCAACTCAGAGTCCTATAGTCCTCAACTGTTTGGTGGGACCCCCCTCCCCAGAGAGCTTCTCCCTCCAACACTGTCTTCTTCTTCTTCTTTCAGACTGAAAATGGAATCGAATTTGACCCCATGCTGGATGAGAGAGGTTATTGTTGTATTTACTGTCGTAGAGGCAACCGCTACTGCCGCCGTGTCTGTGAACCTTTACTAGGTTATTACCCATATCCATACTGCTACCAAGGAGGAAGAGTCATCTGTCGTGTCATCATGCCTTGCAACTGGTGGGTGGCCCGCATGCTTGGGAGAGTCTAATAGGAAGTTTGAGTTCAAATGCCTAACCTTCTGTTAGCCAACATATAATAAATGCATGCTATTCAATGACTTTCTATGAGGCATTTGCCTCCTAGTAGCCTATCCTCCAGAATTACTTTTAGGTTATTCCTCTCTTCATGTTCTAATAAACTTCTACATCATCATCAATGGCCTTGTTGCTGCTGAACACAATGGGTAAGTGTTTGCTGAGACTACTCCTGGCAATTGAAATGTAATAGACCTGCCTAACACGAATGGCAAAAATGTGAGTTTGCAATACATCAATAGTCTTGGGTAAAGCCTCAAAGTTCCCATCTCCTATATTTTTACTATTCAGTTTTGACAAAGTTAAAATGAAGGGGTGATGATAAAATGTCCCCAGGAGCAATGAACAAAACCGTAAAGTTGTGTGCATAGTTCCCAGTGCTTAATTACCTGAAAGGCATGCTGTGGACTTGCTTAAGTGTCTCTAAAGCCGCTGGACAGGCAGTGAGTCACAGCAGGCCAACACTAAAATATGCTAACTGCTCAGACTCAGCAAAGGAGAAAGGTAACTTAGCAAAGGGGATCCTGGCTTTTCCTCCTGTGAATGGGAACTCAACTTTGGACAAACTCAACATTTTAGAACCTTCACATCTAACTTTCCTTTAGATCTGGCTACATAGTGTTCCAAGACATTTTTCTGAAATATGAAGACCAATAAATAAAATTCACAGAAACAGTCATAAGAAATTACTGAGGTGAAGAATCAAATGTACTTTTTCCTCCCAAACTACAGGGAAGTAACAATTTGCTACTTAAAGGAGAGGTAAGACCTAGTTCCCAATTACCCTGTATTTTCCTTAGGAATAGAAAAGAGTACAAAGGGGAAAGAAAACAATGGTTGGAGGCTAATGTTAACTCAGATGTCCCTGCAAGGTCAAGTTTCAAAGTTCATGCTCTGCCAATCAGTCACCCTTTGTAGTTCTATTTGAAGATACATCATTACCAAAGTATTTGTAGGCCAGTGAGTCACAGTCTCCCCCTTCCCCATTGAGAAAATACATAGAAAGAGCTATGGCCAAGATTGATTTACAATTAGCAAATTACTAATTACTAGCATACATACCATACTTAGATTACTAATAGTTACAAAATGAAAGTACAATCAAATATATCTAACAATACATAGCATTGAAATGTTTCCTCTTTTATTGATAATTTAAAAGGCACCAGACCTCTTTAGATTACTTCAATTATAGCAGGAATTAATTTATGTTTGAAATAGAAAAATGTGAACGATGAGACCAATTTGAGGCTGTATGAACTTAGTGATGTTAGCTATCATTTTAAAATAAATTGCTGTCTTTAACACTGTTTCCAAAGATTAACCAGGATTTTAAGTTCCTGAGACACTCCAAATTGGGTAGTCTCTAGGATACTATATGTATTGTGCTCTGTGGAGGATACAAATTAGGTTAAAGGTATTTCCTTACAACAAGAACACATGATCATAATAAATACAGGAATGTACACAAAACTAACTACAGTTGTATTTCCTAGGTACATTGCTACATACACCTATACATACCCCCACACAGAAGGATAGACTGTTCTACATAACAGTTTTGAATTGGGGATTCCTATTCACATTCCTATTCACAATATGAACACAGGGTCTTGACCATGTGAGGCACAGGAAGCATTTCTTGTTCGAATAACATCCTTCAACCCACTAGTCATTTCACGGTGGGAAAGTATGAGTCCTCCAATGAGGCAGACTATCAGATCAAGCAGGGGAAGAAATGACCATGTTTAAAGAAGCATTCAAACCATATCTTGGTTTACAGGGAAGCCAAACACCACCATAAATAAGCAAACAAACCCAAATACATTAGCCTATTTCAGTTTAGGCACAAGCCGGAATGGAAAAGGAGACTGTGTGATTCCACCCCTGCCACAGCATTTTATCCTCCTTTGAGTCCTGGGTAGAGACTTTATGCCTTATGCTATGCTCAGATCAACTCAACTAGAGCTAGAACAGCCTCACTTACTCCTGCCTCTCTTCCCTATGCCGACTTCCCAAACACGGGTAGCACCAAAAAAACACTGACCTCCCTTGTGTTTCACCCGTGTCTATGTATGTGCACTGAGTGCATGCCTAGTTCCCTCAGAGGCCAGAAGAGGGCACAAGATCCTCTGAAAATGAAGCTACAGACAACAAACCCAACCCCAGTCCTCTGCAGCAACAGCAAATGCTTTTAACTGCTCAGCCATCTCTTCAGCACCCTGTATGCAGTATTTTAAGTAATCTCTCCAGTGGCAGAAAGTTAAATGTATCTTTGTCCTCTACTCCAGGCTCTTACCAAATGCTCCCAACTCTCCCTCCTAAACCATCCCTCAATTGTGTTTATAGTCTAGTTCGTACTCTTAGCCTTAACTATGACAACCTGTCCTTGATGAAATTCCCAGGTTATGGATTAAAGTTAACACAAATGCTTTTACACAAAGTTTACTTTTCACATTTAGATTTTATTAATATCACTTTCTTACCTAAAAGCTACTTAATACATTAAAGATCAGGTGTAACTCACCTACAAGACATCCTTAACCAAACCACTTTCAGTGGCCACCTCCAATCCCTTTTTTCCTCGCACTACCATATCTTTCCCCACGTGGCAATTCTCAAAAACCTTAGTTTCATGTTCTGTCTGTCCAGTCATCCCACCATCTCCTTTCCCTCTTGCCGACGCATGAAATCTAAATCTTCTGCATTTCAGTATGGTATCAAAAGTATACGGGGAACTCCTGAATATATTTTTGTAGGCACCAAACAGAAGAGGAGGATGAAGATAGAAGAGAGGAGATTAGAAAAGAGTACAGCCATAAGCTGAAGAATATCACAAAAAGTTAGCTTTGAGCTTTTCCAAACTGAGGCTGAATGTTCTTATCTCACTTAGATCCATTTCCGTATTCCTCATCTTCTGACACTGTCAACAGTGGGGAATGCTCTAACCCCAGACCGATCGAAGGTCCCCATGACTGCCCAGCCCAGTGGCCTATTTCCACTATAAAACTGCAGGTTTCTGCATTTTAATCACAAGTTTCCATGTTTCTAAGTATACGGGGAGGGGGAAGGCAAAAGGCATAACTTCTGTGAAATCACAAGAAATATATTACCGTTCAGATTCTTGGGGGATCTAAATTCCAATTAAGAAAAGTCAGGTGAGGCGAAGCCATCCATTGCTCCCACTCAGCAGAAGGACACTATGCATTAGTGTTCTCAGAGCCTTCCTGCACACCTAAAATGGCTCTTTGGCAGGACTAGGGGCAAAGAAAATCTATTTTGAGTTTTTATATATAAGGCTCCCTGTCTGGCTGAGTCCAAAACTGTCGCTTTGGCTCCTAAAGTCTAACGCTGAAAGCTTACTGAGATAAATATGGACCTTCTCATTCAGGCTGTCAGGAAATGCGTGGAGCTATTTTATTTATACCCTTAAAAATGATTTCATTTTGGCTTTCCTTTTTTAAAGAAGTTTCATCCAGGGCTTAATTTTGCTGACAACATGCTGTTCCCTAACAAGAAAGAAAAGTGACTCCATATTCAAAACCAGGTATGGGTGTATATACAAAAATTATTGTCTCTGACATCACAGAAGTCCTGCTCTAATATCTCCCAGAGTATTGCAAATCAATTTCTATGAAAGCCACTTATCCAATAACTGCAACTGTGATTTCTTTAGATGAAGATTCTGTTCTAGTGTTTATAGACTAAGAAGTAAATGGTCACTTGTCTACTTGCTGCTCTGGTATTTGGTTCTGTTTAGCTATATTTTCCTCTACTTTTTAAACTTCCTATTCATGCCTATTGTCCTTGGTAAAAGGGTTCTAAAAGACAGGCATGTTGAACCAAAGGGAACAGACCAAGCCACAAGAAATCCTTCAACCAAGATTGCAGCAGTTCCACAGTGCTGAGCTCATCTCTAGCTGACAGTGATATTAATACACTGTTTACATTTATCCTTCCCCAATTGATGCTATCATCTGCCATTCTGAATTTTCCACTGACAGCAGTATTTCTGTTGCTCTTCCAGAGATGTTGGCTACTAAAATACGACTCAGGCTTGCACCCTTATCAGTCTTCATTGAGCCAAGAGCAAGACACTTGCCAAGGGCAAGGGACTTAAGGGTACAGGACCTAGCCACAGTTGAGCAAAGAAAAAGCAGCAGTGTAAGTGCCAAGAGACAGAAGTCAGGATTTCAGCTTGTTTATTTTACAAAGGAGCCCACATTTATTTTGAAGGCTTGCCAACTCACAAACTCACTGTATCACCTGAAATCCACTCCTTGTTGTGATGGCTGCCTATTATACAGCAACGTTGTTTTAGTCACATATATTTAGTAAGCCACTATGCTGTAACCTACCGCCGCCAATTCTGCCAATAATAGCCTTTGGTGTTTTGGTCATGCTAAATCATATTACTCTGAATCAGAATGGTTTGTGGTTGACCTTTTCTACTTCCTGTTCCTCTAAATTACTTCTCCTTCTAAGAGTGTGCTCCTCTAATGTCATATCAACTGAGGAGAACTGACACACTAATACCACTACCAACATAGGAATAACCAGCATAGAGCTTGACAATGAAAATAAGGTGTCCTTCTTCTTTTATAGCATTTAGAAAATATTTTGCGTGATACACTCTATGCACTTTAAACAACTAAGAAAGTATAAGACAGTTTTTGCTAATGGATCCAAAAAAACAAAAATTCTCCAAATACTCTTCAGCACCCATGAAGAAATGACCCCTGTGTTCACAGACAGTGTGGAGTCAAAGCACTGCACAAGGCAAGGCTGAGTGCAGAAAGACAGCCACCCACACCGACTTTACTGACTCTGGCTGGGCTGCAGCTTCACACCACACATCTGGGTTAATGCAATGATATAAAACTGCTGCAGTGCAAAACTTACACCCCCACACAGAACACAAGATGAACAATTCCTCAACTGTTATCATTTAAGGGGCTTTTATTTGTAGCAAAGGAGAGAGTACGAAAAGACTTAGACTCGTATGGGAAAGCCCTTTAAACAGTTCTACCTAGTGCCCTGGAGTCAGAATAAGGCATTGTTTGGGAGAAAACCTGGAGGACAGGTTTGCCTTCTCAAAACTCATTAGAGTTTGGAGTA